GCAACACACAAAAACAAAAAGAACGGCATTGACTTCTACAGAGCAAGGGTTTGATAGAAAGAGCAAAACATCACCTCACTAAGCCACAACCCTTAGGAATATTGCTGAGTTCATCATATTCTGCTGAACGTCTACCTTTAACCCCTACAGTTAGAATTCTTGCTTTCGTTTAATTTAGACGACGCCAAGAAAACCTTAGAACGCCACAAAGCAACAGTTAATAACAGGATTTTCATTGCAACAAGCATATGTGTATCCCTCACAAGCATATATGCGATCAGTTCATCAGAATGAATCGTGATCATCCTATTAAGATCTTCATTGGAAACAGAACCAAAAGAAATGCCACTTAAAGGATGAAGTAATCAAAAATGAATTAAATTTGGGTAGCAATGCATTATAGCTGGTTTAGTACTAAATTATTGACATTTTAAGTATCTGCCTAATGGCCTTCCCTTCCCAAGACTTAATCAATAAATAAGCAGGTGCCTTCTGTGTAAGAACACAGTGCTGAAAAGTGAGTGTAAACAATTAAATAGAGGTACTCGTCAGTCCAAGGCCTATTCAAAGAAAGGTAGAAATGAATGCACTGTGCACTGAGGATGCTGCATAACCTCTGAACAAATGCAGACTGGAGAATGGAAGGTCTGCTTCCAAGGGATACAAATAAATTTGTTTGCCTGACGTTTTTATTTATTTATTTTTAAAGCAGAAGCACGAATACCACCAACTGCCAAATCCTTGTCATTTAGAAATGAGATGCTTTTACAACTGCAATGTGTGATGCACGTGTTATCCAGCTTTACTGCCAAAATTTAATGGCAAATTGACTACCAAAATACATTACTGGATGGTCCCAAAGAGGGAATATGGTCTACATATGGCATCTCCAGGTGATTCTACAACCATGCATATAACAAAGACATTTTGATATCCCAGTAAGATTAAAAAAAAACAAAACAAAAACACTAGAACTACACACAAATACCTGTCAAAGAGAAAAGAAGATACATATTTTCAGTCTGTTGTAACTTCCACTTAAACACAAAGCTATTTAACCCTGGCCCAACGTAGGTAAAGTAATCTTAACAGACATTCGCAGTCGCATGGCATCAGCTGGGACTGTTGGTCACTCCTTGCACAACTGGGCTTACATTTACTAGAAAGTGAAAGGGAAGTTCTACTGCATTGCAAAGGATATCAGGCATGAACCAGAAAAACCACGTCACAGACATCCAAAAGACGGAACTTAGCATCAGTGCTGTGGGAAGATACCTCAGATTCTTGACTCCCACAAACTGCCTGAAAGAAGATGAAAATAAAAGAGCATTTTTCTCTCACCCAAAACTGAACTTCGTGGAGAACAGACTTAACGTGGTTGTTTTTTTTAATTGATTTTTAAAACTTCACTCGGTATTCTTTAAGCCTCTGTTAAAGCAAACCAAAATTGCCGCTCAGAAGCATGCTTTAGCCAGATGCACAGAGGAACTCGTGATGCAGAAAAACATCTACTGAGGAGTGTTCTGTCCAGCCTAATTTTACATATCCGAGCAGCTGCGCATTAGGTGAAAAGGACAAACTCTATTTATTGACACAACAACAGTATTGCCATTTCCAGGAACACAATTTAGTAACTGCTGTAAGAAATGGGAAATGTGCAAAACAGCTCAGGATACCACTAGGAGATCTGGGGAACACAGAGGGTGGGAACGGTACATTGAAACTCATGCTACGTTGCAAATACAGAGGGAAAAGTTAAGATAAAGCACATTTATAAACTTCATAAATGGGTATCTCAGCTTCTGTCAGATGCAGGCATTCAGCAACACCCTCTTTATCATTACAACCAGCTAACATGCCACCTCAACACTTGTTTTCTCCTCAGATCTCAAGGATCAGAAACTACAATCTTGACCATCTAAAGACACCACATTTCAAAATCATTATGAAAAGTATATATATTTAAATCCTTCACACAATCCTTTCTACAGTACAGTAAAAATAAATAAATAAATAAAATAAAAAAAATCAAAAAACCTTCTAAGTGAAGCTGCAGACTCTGAAAAGAACACTGCATTATGTACCACGTACTGCATCTATTAGAATTAAATACACAGAAAGAGAGAAATCCAAAAACCTCACAGACAGAGCGATCCCAACCAGCAGAAAGAGAAGCAGGCATCCTTTCAAAAGCCAAGTATCAGAACTTAAGTTCATTACGTATCCTATGGCCCACAACACAGTCAAGCAAGATGCCAGCAGCAGGAACAGCTGTTAAAATGATCGTTGTTAAAATATGACAGAATATTGAAAAGCAGGATTTATTCCAATATATACACTTAATATAAGAACGAATGCTGAGAGACTCAAGATAGGTAACAAAGTGACACATCAAAACACAGGGGATAAGGAGGGAGGGAAAACAACAACGCGGGGGGGGGGGGGAAAGGGGGGAACAAACACCCAAAGAACAGGAAGGTGCTTCTAAAACATTTCATTTTTGAGTGTCCAGGTTTGGAAGCCTAGAAGATCTTGTTGTCAGAACAGAGGTAAGTTACAGATTATTCTGAACATGGAACGCTGAAGCTTTCCTTCCATTAGTGACATTACCTCGTATTTCTCCATCATTCTCAGTAACCTGTTATTCCTTCTGCTTCTCATTCTTCCTTCCTCCATTAACATATAAATGATGAAGGAATTCTGAGTTTGAATTGCAAGGTCAAGCGCTGTCTCTCCTTTTAACAACAAAGTTCATTTGGTTAGGCACTTAACACACAAACGTCTTCCTTTGTAACAGAAACAAGAAATGAACTGAACTAAAACAGGAACTTACTGGCTTCTTCCCCAAACCCACCATTTTTCTTTAAGGCAAAGTAAACTCGCAGTTCTAACACGCTTCATCTGGTGCTCTGTAGTTCTAAAGACTGATATTTGCAATCAACTACGCGCACACGAATCACTTGCTGAACTGTCTCTCCTAACCTGAAACACTAAACAGTCTTTTAGAACATGACAAGCTTACTGAATGTGATCCCTTACTGAAAGGGAGCTTTCTTGTTTATGTTAACTTTTTAAAACCACACCAGTAACATTCTAAGAGTCATATATTCAAAAAAAAGCAAAACAACTAGCAGATGGAAAAGCTGTGCAGCTGAATACACAAACTAGAATTACTACACTATGCAAGCATCTCTATGGGAATCAATAGTTTCAACATTAATAGTTTTTCCTGCCAGATTTTACAAGTCTTAGGACTAAGACTTTCACGTGACGTGCACTTCTGAGTGTACAAACAGGCACTGACAGACACTGATCTTTTCAGGATGCCACGCTCATCTTTTTCAAGACCTTACCAGGCTCATCAGACACAAAGCAGCATTATTTTTGACAAGCCTGGCTGAAGGCCTTACTTGTGGCCATGCTGTAGAGAACAGCTGACTCAAAGCAAACAAAAAATAAGAGAGAATCTGTGAAGGTTACAATACATTTGGTTGCAGTGATCAGGTGTTCACTAAACTAACATTTCAAACCATCTCCACATTCTTACTTTGTGTCACACCACAAGCAAAGTGCTCAATTCTTTTTGGAAAGCATAAGAACTCTTGCCTTATTCCCCCCATCCATTTCAAAGAACATTCAGAGGGGAGGGGATTCAGGTATTTCTTCATATTCATTTTACCCATTAATACTACACAGATGAAAACAACAGAAACAATGAAAGAAATTGTACCTTGACATTTTTTATGTCCATGTTAGCACCAGCTTCTAGCCGTACCTCCACTGCACTAACATTTCCTGATGTAACTGCAGCGCAGTGTTCTTCTGGACGTTGTCCACAGCATTGAGGGAGAGGTTAAACTTTAGTAGAAATCTTGTGGGCTCTGGTCTAGATGAAAACAGAGTTAAGAAACAGAACATCAGCTGCATTGGAAACTTTTGAACACTTTATTAACAAAAAACATTGCTAGCATCTGCAGCAAAGTAACAGCAGATACAAACGTGTTGTCTCTCAACAAGCTCATCAGCAACAGAGCCAAGCTTAGAAAACAGAACTCATCCTTCATTTCACCTTCATTTCTAGGAAAGCACAATGATACACCAGCTGGTCCAGCTGCCAACCTAAACTACTTTAAGATAGCTCTTTTGGAGGTGGGTCTTTCTTTACTGTACCAAGTTAGCTGCTTCATCATCTCCTATGTCTTGGATACATAGTATTTTATAACAAGTAGAAAAGAAAAAAATGTCACTCTAACAAGAGTGACAGAACCAGAAGAAAAAATTCAGCATTACATCCAGGAATGAGTGGACAACAGATTCTTTTTAAAAGTTATTCCCCACTTACCCCACCACTTTTTGTGCTGATAACATTAAAGGCCTAAGTCCGCTGAAGTCTGCTGTGTCTATGTTCTAGGAATAAGAAAAAGATAATAAGTGATGATCACGGATTTCAGTAAACAAAGTTAAATGGTCAGATTCTTAGCTACGCAGCCACACCACAGCAGCAAAAGGGAACTAAACTGTACCTGCCAGGAAGCCAATTTAAACAATTTTTCTTCCTTCCATGGGTCTTGAACAGCATTCATTTCAGGATATGCTGAGTGCCCATTAAAGTGACTTCAAATTAATCAAATACATCTACAGAATTCCTTCCACTTACAGTATTTCCTGTCCCCTCTTGATAAAAAATACTGTAAATTCCACTTTGGAAAGCAACAATAAATATCTCCCTTGTGTAAAGGAATAAAGTGCATAACTGAATGTTCAAGTACATAAAACTGGTTCATTAAAAAAACAAAATACGATCATGTATCAACACATAATTATTTAAATGTAGCGCTTATAGCACAGGGAAATACCAAATACATGCTTGTACTTCAGGAGATAACATTTAAATTCCACAAAGCATTTTCAGAGCACAACCAGCTACTTCTAAGCAGAAAATAACACCTGGGACAGTGGTTATGAGTACAGTGGGTACCTTTGATATGAGGTAAGCTACAATGGGCACGTGTTGAAACAGCACTGCCAAATGAATGCTGCTGAATCCTGCCCCATCAGTAAGGCTGGGATCTGCTCCACACTTTAACAATAAGGTGACCATGGGTAAGTGTCCTTGTCTGTAACAATATATGAGACTACAGCCATAACAGAAAGCTTGAAATCTTAATGAAAGCGTCACCTTCACAATTCTTAGACACTCGTTTAGAAAAATAATCTCTGGTTCTTATACTTTCATGAAGAAACTTTTTTATTTTTCCTTTAAGCCGAAGGTCTGTATCAGAGAATTAGGTAGGACCCAAGAAGCCAAGTCTGACCAGCACTGCCCTGGGAAAAGTTCAAAATGCAGGTCTGCCTGAAGCACAGATGCATGCATAACACAACCTGGCAGCCTGCAAAGTTGCCAAGAATCAGAGAACAGATTTCAGTGTAATTATGGACATGCTGTCAAGTTCTGTGTAACTCAGCAAAGGAAACACACACCATCAATTCATTTAAGATGACAACAACAACAACAGTTACACAAAACACTACTGTTCAGACCAGCAGATTTATTATGAGAAGTGGCAAGCAGCACACCTGATGGCCCAGTGAAGGGGAGTTGAATTCAAGTCTCCACCTAGCTGATCCACTACTGCACCTTTGGAAATATAGTACCTGCATAACAGCAACAGAACAAGATTAAGAGAACACATAATAAAGCACAAAAACATTGTGCTGAGGATAACATAGGTGTAATAGCAAGCGGCTTGCAATAAGCAAGTTTTCTCTAGAAAAGCAAATGGATGACAACATTTTTGCAGAACAGGATGCTGCTTTGAGAAAACATGTAAGAAAATGCGCAGTAAGTAGCAAGGCCTTACAAAGACAATTGTAATCTTTGTCAAATTAAACAAATCCAGGAACACCTAATGATTTCATGTACCACTTAATTTCACACAGAAAGGAAGTGTGGTAACTACACCTCACTGACATTTTCACAAAGGTGGTTGTGTTAAAATTCAAATTTTAAGCTTTTTCCCTCAAGCACCACACACCGTGGCTGGCAGCACTCACGATCGATAGCAACAGAATGCTCAAGATCCTTTCCCGTGGGCTACAGAGCTTACTTAACCAGCTCCTGTCTGTTGCTTATTGCTGCCCAGTGCAGAAGAGTCACATTTTCTTTGTCTGCTTGTCGAACACCGTATCCTGCTTCCACCAGTTCTTTGCACCGCTCTAGCATTCCATACCTTAAACGAGGAAAAGAACTGACTTTATTTCAAATATCTCCCAATTTAAACAGCATCACACAAATGAAAAATTCAGTCTCCGTAAGTCTTGCTCAAGAGCTCCACTTTGCATTCAACGGAGTTGTTGCAAAAAGAGCTGGTCTGAGCCTCGATATGTAGAATTTTCTACCTAGCAATGTTGTTGTTGCTGATTATGACAGTATTTATAATAGTATATACACTTCAAGTGCTTTCTCTTGGACAAGCAGGTGGCAACAGAGCCCTACCATTTTCAATTTAAAAAATCCCACATGGAATAGGAACTTTGCCCAGGTGAGACAAACACTTACTGAGTAGTCTTCACAATATCACACGTCTTCAGGGTCTTCAGCGATCGGCTGCAGTGCCGGCAGCACCGGCACATCCTTCTCTCTGCAGATGCTACGGCAGCTGCGCACGTCAGGTCGGTGAGGCCCACGGCAATGGTTTTTACACTGCTGGGTGACGAAACGGCCATCATCGTGCCAACGCTGGACGCCATAGCGCCCTCTTCACAAGGCACCCTTCTTGCCACGTGCATCCGTGGAGATGCGGCACCGAGGGGCACCGGGCGCGGTACGGGCGGGTCGGGGATCTCAGGTCTTCTCCAACCCGAACGAGTCCAGTGTAAGTAGGAAGTAGGTTTCAAACGCAAGCGAAACTTGGAGCTTCCACTCCGAGCGGAAAGGTGGGAGGACAGAAATGACACCGTTACGTTCTATGAGACAGAACTACGCGGCGATTTAGTGACCCCGTGCAAAACCAGCTGCCAGCGGCACACCTTTCCCAGAGCAGCGACGGCACGCTACAGACCACCACCCGTACCCGCACGCTCCGAGCCGCAGCACCGGGAAGCCTTCCGGCAGCAGCAGAGCACGCCCCGCACGCAGCCGCGCACCGCAGGGTCCCCCCAGGCCTGACATGAACCAGGGTTTCCCGAGCGCGTCCAGAATCCGGGAAGACCCTTCGGTATCAGCCGTCCGTCCCACGGCGGCTGCCGGCCCCTCACCGCGAGCCCCTCACCGCCGGGCCGCCCCCGGCCATGCCGCCGGCCGAGCTCCGCTGCTTTCTGCTTCCTGGTTACCGGCACGCGGGGCGGAGCCGCGAGTTACCGAGAACCGCGAAGGTGGCAAAACGCGGCTGCTTCAGCTGGGGTAGTGCGTGCAGACCTGGGGCCCCTAACACGGGAAAGACAAGGAGCTGGGGCAGCGGGTCCGGGGGAGGACTGCGAGGATGCTCAGAGGGATGGAGCACCTCTCCTGTGAAGAAAGGCTGAGGAAACTAGGCTTGTTTAGCTTGGAGAAGAGCAGGCTGCTGGGAGACCTTGTTGTGGCCTTCCAGTGCTTGGAAGTTGTGGTTTAGACATCTGGACTGTGAAAACCTGATGCAAGCAGAGAATACTTCTTTTACTAGAATATGTTGAATGAGTTGGTAAAGAGAAAATAGTTCTGAACAGAGGTACGGAAAGCTGTATGCACTGCTACTGCTTGCTTTCCCAGCACGGAAAGGACAGGCGTGGGTACTGCTGGGCTGCAAGTTTGGCTAGCCATCCAGATGCTGCAGAATGAATGCAAAATCAAACTCTAGCTGACGTGTTAATACAGATTTTCCTTCCATATGCACAGCTGCTACATAAATAGACATCAAAGCAGCTCCACTTCATAAATATGTAGAGCTTTAATTTAGCTTGGCATCTGTATGGGAACTGCTGAGTCACGGCCTGAACCTCTGATTGATCACCTGAGGCGAGCCATGAGTCAGCCAGAGGAGCACAGGTGAAGGCAATTCAGCTGTGCTGCAGGAAGGGGTGCAGCCTGGCTCCACCCCTCCTAGACCTATTTAAGAGCTGGCTACCAGAGGGGAAGGATTTCTTTCTGGAGATCATCTCTCTTGGTGTTTTCTGGTGAGCTCAGCCGAAGGGTAAGCTCTTCCACTTATTCTCTTTTGTGATTGTTGTCTACTTTGCCTAATTCTCTTGATTATATTGTGATTATAATATCTTGATATCTGTTGATTATACGCAATTATATTGTGATTATAACATCTTGATTATACACTTGGCGAGCCAGGCAGGCCGAATATACTGAAATTAACATCATGTCTTTTCTGTGGAATTTCTATAAATGGGTCAAGGGGGAGAACAAGACTCCTCTAGAGAAAATGATTCTGGGGCAGATCCCAGGATATGAGGGATCGCCCTATTATGAGTTAGCTGCTATCATTGAAAAATGGGGTCCCTTACGCGCTATGGGCAATATCTCCCCATATCACATGGCGGACTATTTTTAAGGACTTGGAAAGGATGTCCTCACTACTAAAGAAAGACAACTGGCTGCCTCCATGGTGGTATGGCCATTATTAAGTGCCTTAAATCATGCGGATATAAGAAATAATACTTTAGAAACTGAAAATCAGCTTTTGAAAGACCGCATTGAAAAGCTGGAGCACGAACTTGGTGTTTTAACAGGGAAGAAGCCAATTTTACATCTTCCTATAGGCCAAATTTGTAACATTTCAATAAACAATGACCAGACTCCTGAATCAACAGACTTCGTTGATCAGGAGTACAAGAAAACCAAATCAGACCTTGAATGTCCAATTCTGACTGATCCACTGGAAGTCCGTCCTGTCATAACCCAGAAAACAAAACAAGTACAGGACAGAGCGGCAGGGGTGCCGCCTGATCAATGGTCCCCTGCCCAGACTCATTTACATGTAACGGCTTGGCCAATTAAAAAGAAAAAAAATTGCACCCACCAACATTCACTGACACTTGCTGGATGGAGTCCAGACAATGGACATGAGCTCAGGGAGGTGGTAGATGTTGGACTTCAGCAGTGGTGACAACAGCAGTAGTTTACCCCTGCTGGTGCAGATTTTTACAAATGCAGCATGCAGGCTCACGTTCATTGCTAAATCACATCAAAAATGCATAGCTAGTGGTGGTGACTATGTTAAAAAATAGTATTTTGAAGCTGAGAGTTTTCTTTCTCAAGTAATGTTATCGTTGTATGGGAACTGTTGATCCCAGCCTGGACCTGACTACAACTGAGGAGGGATCTCTTTCTGGAGGTTGCTCTCTGGGGTGTTTACTGTGAGCCTATGAGTCCAGTTAGCATTTCCTTTTTTTTTTTTTTTTATTTTATTTTATTTTCTTTTTAAATGTATATATCTTTTCATCATGGTAATCTTATGAAGCCCAACCATGGTGCATCTATTGATTGTAGAAGCCCATAGCCTGCAATATTACCATAGTAGTAAGAATGTTACAGTTTTCTGAGAAAGTAATAAAAAGGAGTAAAGAAATTTCTCTTGTTTTGAGAAATATTGATCTCTCCAGCCTTTTTGAAGAAACGTTAGACTAGAGAAGCTGCAATTACGTTGTAAAGTCATTCTTAATGCTTCTTATCTGCAACATCCTTTTTTTTCTTTTTTTTAACTTCTTTTTGTAATGAATACATGGCAGAATACCTTAGCCATGAGCAGATAACTCTTTTCTTAAAAGCATAACTTTTGACGCTCTTGACAGCAATACCTGAAATGCAGTTTGTGAGTCTTGGAAAAGGAAGGCAGACAGAAAAAAGACACCATGTAGTCTGGATTTGATTAACATTAGTCTGTTGCTCTCAGTTTGTTGCCGAACTTAACTTCTACAATGGCATACAGTGCAGATCACACAAAGGCTTTGGCAGAAGTTTTTAGTTATTAAAAACTGGGATAATTTTTCTGCCTTTAAAATAATGTTCAGATCCAAGTGTACTAGAGATTTTGGCCACATGAACAGGCGTGACCACTGTGGTGGAAATGCTAAGTCAGGGCTTGAAACAGTGATTGAGCACCTAGTAGTAAGGCAGGGCCAAGCCAGGGGAGCTCAAGCGTATGCAGTGCACATGAATGACCAGTATGGGTATTGACAGGATCTTCCTCTTCCCAGACCTCATTTAAGTGTTGGCAGTGGGGGGTGAGGGTATCTCATCTGGAGATCCCTGCATAGCTGAGGCCTTCCAAGGATAAGCAGGTTTTTTTTTTTTCCTTATTTCTGTCTCCATGACTGCTCTGTTTAGCAAGTTTTCCCTCCCTGCAGCCTGGGGTCTTGCTACTCTGCTATCACTGTCGTGCTTTTCATTGTGTTACAACCACTAATTTAAGTGACTTGCTAAAACGTACAGGGCAAGGACAGTATTTAAGTGAGCCAGGAGATATTTGGCCTTGTATTTAATCTGTTTTCTTCTTACAAAGTACCCTTGTGTGAGGAAGTTTGTGTGAGGAACATTTGTTTTGTGGGAGCTGATTCAGGAGAACTCAATTTTTAACATTCCAAAGGGAAATCTCTCTGGACTTAAGACTACAAGCAGGCAAGCAAGAACGGAATCTAATGTAGAAGTTTAGGACCATATGAAAAGACAGCTACATTAGGGAACTGGGCTGCCTGCATGAGTATACTCACTGGGATTCAACAAAATCTAAGTTTTCACTTTATTTCTTTGATTACCATTCACTCACTACTTCAAAAATCTCCATTTTAATTCTATACAAATTTTCATGTTTCTGCTCTATGCGCAGATTTCCAGAAGAGTGCAATGGAACCAGCAACAAGAATGGGATTTATTGATTTCTTTGATCCATATTCCAACAATAATTTTTGTTTTGTCACAGCCAATTTTCCTTTCTCTTAATAATCTACTTGCACCTTGGAGGCATTTGTTAGAGGTAAACCCTATGGTTATCACTACACAGCCAGTAAACATAGTAGCTGGCACTCCAATTTTCATCACAAAGAGAACATTAAACATGTCCACGCGGCAAATGAGAACCCCCACCCCCCTGTAGTACCTGATATAGTGATCATGCCCCAGATATCAGGACAAAGGATGTTGTACCAAAGGCCAGGACATGCCCCAGCACAAGTGGAGGTGTTTGACTCAAGACAAAAACACAGCCTGTATCCTACCACTGAAGGCAGACCCACCACTCCTCATACCTTTCAAACATCTGTACCACTCCCCTTGAGGCTGTGAAGTCCACAGGACCACTGGTAGGAGCATCAACACTTCAGCGTGCTTCAGTGTCTATGAGGGTATGTCATGACACCAGGTGGTAGAGTGCTGAAGTTCTGGGAACCAGTGAACTGAAGAAGATAAGCCTCCAGAAGCAACATCAAGTACTGTTCCAACAGAACCATAAGAAGACTGTCAACAATCCCCTTGCAACAATCACCTGTCAATCACATCATTGATAGGTACTGTACCTGCATCACGATACACGTTGTACTTCATGTTTCCAAAACAGCAGGAGTTTACCCCTGACCTACTCAATCTTTGGTTCAGGCTGTGACCTAGCAACTCTGCTGCACTCCATCCCTTCACAGCCTGAACCAATGACTGAACATTAGTTGAGAGGTCAAGGCTATCCCAGGGAGCTGAGGTGCAAGCAATGATTGGAAAAGGGGCTTTTATTTCAGTGTTAGCAGCAGAAGGAGCAGTATCTCTCTGAGTTTGCTCTTCTTTTGAGTTGTTACTAGTTTCTGGAAGGGGTGAGCTAATTTTTCTTCATTACCTGCTGCTATGGTTCTTGTAGGTTATGTATGGTTACCTGTTAGGTATGGTCATACGGTCTTGTATGGTTACCTGCTATGGCGCTTATATCCCATTAGAAAGCACTGTCATGACATTCTTTTGCCATGTGACTTAGTTTAAAATAGGTGACAGCCTTTTCTCAGTTCTGTTGCTTTATTTTTCCATGCTGCTCTGCAAACCTTGCTGTGACTCCGGGCTAGGCCTGGCCACTCATCCGGGTAGAGCTGCTGCCATGATAGATACAGCTGTAGGGGGTGCAAGTTGAGTTGGGATACATGTAGCATGTGGGTTACAGGTTGTGTATGCCTGAGTATCTAACTCACACTAAAACGTCTTGCCTGTATGCGTGTGGTGGCTGGAATCCCTTTGCATTGTAGAAGCAAAGTTCAGAGCCAGAAAGTAAGGGAAGGCAAAATTATGAAAAAAGAAGAAATGATCTATGGAAAACTAATTGTTATAGATGTTATTTGATCCTTGAAAATCATAAAAATAGTCTTGGGGAAAAAAGAAAAAAAAGAAAAAAGCTGGTT